ATTAAAATATTATGGCAGAGGGTTTTCCTCCGTCAATCATTGATGACAAAAGTTTTAAGACGAATGTAAACATGATTGTCAGTAGATCTAGAACAAAATTGTTAAAGTAGATCTTTTTCTTACTTGGTTTGATCTCATTTATATCCAGATGCTTATAATTAGGTGTCATTATTCTTTTGCATCATAAATTGATTAGAGTTTCCTCTTTCACTTCAGCATAGATTAATAAGATGTCCGGCTTATTATTATTCATGGAAAACGTCAAAATTCACAATCTTTAAGATATTTCAATTATCAATTTGAGTAAATTTAATATTTTCTCACATGACCAAAGACGTTAGCACATAAAATGTTTATTAAGAGATTTTGAATGTGTCAATCTTAGATGACTATGATGAAAATCTATTCTGGGATTTCAGTGATTAATTTTTAACCATGTCTGACACAAAATCTTGTTTTATTTATCAAGAGAATACATTCAATTACAATAAACGACTATTTGTTCTTATTGTCCGCTATATTTTAAGTCTATTTATTCTAGTGAAATCACATTATATAGAAATCTACAACAAACCTCACAATAATAGCTCTCTGACAAATCAGAATACCCACAGGAGTCTGCGTCAATTAGATGCTTGAAAATTAAAATGGCGGTCGATGGCCACCAAATAATGTCAATGGACTTGTAAAACAATAAAGAAACAGATGGTTTTATTTGCTGCAACGTCTTGCGCACATTTGCATAACTAGATCGATTGGAACCCATATCGTTAAGGTTATGTTAGAACCACTGGTTATACATGCATTTCATTTTGCCTCTTAGGAAAAGTGTTTGAATTTATGGATTAACAGGCACCAAAGCTGTCTCTTTCAAATGGTAATGATGTCGCGATACACATACATTGTATGTTATGTAACGTAACATTTCCATCGCGCTCTGACCTTTAAAGCTTTCATATTGCTGTTTTTATCAAACAAACTCTCTCCCTTTTGAATTTGCAGGTTATTTGTCTTTTGTATGTGTGTGTGTGGGGGGGGGGGGGGGTCTGATAAAGGTGTGACTACATATCTGTTGTGTCCTCTAGAGTTCTTTGTGACACATTACAATACATGTTTCACGAATTAGAATGATCTTCCTTTCACACGGCGAATGTGACCGGTCGACAGGAAATGTTGCTTCTCCATGGCACATGATCCCAATTCAGATGTTCTTAGAGGTTCGGGTTTGCTCTGCTCCAAATTTGTATTGATTTCATGGACTTTTCAGCTTGATTACTATTTGTTATCTTCATATTTCATTTACCAAAAATTACAATTTGCCAAATACAAACTAAACACAAGTTTAAAGAAAAGGTATGCTTACGGCCAAAGAAAGCCCCTTGTTTAAAAATGTTTACAAAATTTATAACGAAATTAAATTGTGATAATTTGAAATTTAGAATTTCAACTGATGCTTGATTTAAAATCAGCATTGATTTTCATTCAAAATGTACACAGAGACAACAAGAGAGTGACAAATCAGAACATTTTCCAGAAGTTCCACAATTCTGATGGACTTTCGTCACATTTGAGACTCGCTTTGACAAACACATAATGCATGTTTTCCTAAGATTTTCAAATACAAGATGTATCTGATACTAGAGCATGAAATATGTAAATTTGGAAGATAGGCAAAATTTCCGAATTAGAAATTTATTCAAGAATATAAATCCAATTGTCATATGTTTTAGATACTAAAAAGCTTGTACATTGGATTATAATAAGTATATTTTCAAGATGAAAGTGAAAAATAAAAGAAAAATGATAAATTTGACAAAACAAAATTTAATTGCACTGATCTTAGAAACGTAAACTTTTTCTTTACAAAAAATGCAAGAACAGATTGGGATTTTGTTTGTCCTATCTTGGAACAGAAAGATACTCTAGAGCTCAAATTAACCTTTATTTTCACAAGAATCCAGCAAGGGAATATATTCGGAAACTCTCTAAATTCGCAACTATTGTCGAGAAATTTAATCAACCCTCTTTCTCTAACGAATTTTGCGCGCGGGTCTATCATTTGAACGGCCAATTTAGAGGATTTACGACTGGCTTTAATGATAATTTAGGAGACTTTTTCTAGGAATTATCGGCCATGTTCACCATTCATTGTAAAATTTGCCTGTTTTATCTTCGGAGAATCATTCGTTATGTGTGACTTTTGGAACGGGCAGTTTTCTTAGCAACGTTCTTTCGAGGAAAATGGCTTTTCCCCTGATATATTTTCTCCAAGGCGTTTGTCAACCAGTACTTTTTTTAATTAATGAATTAAAAAATAATTATCAGAACATTCCTTTCGAACATTTTATTAATGTTTTAATTTTTTTTTTACATCTGGTGGTACGAAAAAAATATTCCGATCTGAGTTTAATTCATTTATTTTATGTTTTGCTGTATCATTTAAACCAGCGAGGTTAAACGTGAAGCATTTCACACCAAAGAACTTGTTAAATAATTTTTTTTTTTTTTTGCTTGACATTTTTTATAAGAAATATGTTGACACAAATTCTCGCTATGATGGAAAGACATAATATTTAGCTTATGCCCTATCTTGACAAACTGTAACAATTTACTTTATTTTGTCAAGAGTTAGTCACTGAAATACACCCTATTTGACTGTATATTAAATTTTACTTATAATATCATAATTCATATTACAATCATTGTAAAAAATAACAGTTGTTGAAAATAATCTAACTTAAAACAAGTATGCACTACGTTGTGCCAAGATGATCTATGGTTAATAAAACAGATGGCTTGTAGATTAAAGCCTCAATTTATCACTGTTAATATATAAATTTTTAATTTGCAACTAATATATTGAGTTTTCAATGCCAGCTATTGCCAATGTAAATTAGAATGTTACATATTTCTAACGTAAGAAATAGATCTGTATTTCTTTTTTTAAATATCATTGAAAATAGAATAAGTTGACATGGATCTGTTAAAAAAATTATTGGTAACCCGTTCCTTTGATAGCGACTACGTGTAGGAAGACATTATGAAAAACCCAATTTAATTTCCTATCAAAGAAGTATCCTTTTCATTACGTCAAAACCAAGAAAACGTGTTTTGTCATGAAATAAGAGCCAATATTATACACTTTTTTTTTTATAATTTGAGCACTGTTTGGTAGAGAAAATCAAGTTGTCATATTTAGGAGCCTCTTTTACGTAGGAACGCTTGTTAGTTGTTCACTTGTAAATGGAATTTGCAGAAAAAGTGAAAACTACAGTAAGAATAATTAATATTAAGCTCATTAAAATATGAAATTGATGTCAAATTATAATCAAATCCAGTTATCTAATGATGTCATCAAATGATTCCAAAGTCAAATTCCAAATTTAGATATGCATGTACATATTGTATATATTTAATGAAGCTTGCAAAGTCATTCCGTATAATTGTGACTAAAAAAAGCCTACAAAGATATCTCAAATCCCAGAAAACTTTCTTCCTAGTTTCGAGATTCAATTCATTGCGGATGTTCATATTTCGTATTACAGTTGATTTCAGAAACTCTTATGAACATGACTGACGAAAACAAGAATGCAAATTAAGTTTTCTTTTGCAAAGTACACAACAAATAACAATTAGATCTAAGAAACTGAACAGTTGACTTAAAATATATGATAAACTAGCAAAAAGGTTTTAAGACATGGTTTGTTTAGTCTTTTGATTCCTAAGAGTTTAACAATAGGATTAATGAAATATGTATTATTACGGAAGGGTGAAAAGTCTCTGTGATTCTCCACATTCATCGTTATGTCTTAATTTAGTTTTTCTGAGTATATTAGGACCTGCAAAATATACAAAATAACCTAACTTTGGTCCTTAGTTGCTGTATTTTCTTATCTATATATATATTTATTTTTGTGAGCTCGCGCCTTAGTCAACTGTGTAATAACCTTTTGATGATGGTGCAGCTATAAAATAAAAAAGAAATATTGAGATTAATTTTTTAAGCAATAACGAGGATTGGACCTAATATATAGGAGCAGCGTTCAGATTTGATTTCTTGACATTATATTGCCTGCCATTTTCTAGACAGAAGTTTTCTTGCAGAACACAAAACTGTGATTATGTGCGAATTCTTTTGCAACAATATTCAGAAGAGAACTTTTTTATTTATTTGACTCTTCCTTTAATATTATAAAATCATAGCTTAAAACCTTAAAAAGTGATTTGGGATAATACAAAAAGTGATTTGGGATAATACAAAAAAAAAAAGATGAGGAAAACGAAAAGTGATCAATCTAAACAAACAAGAAAAAAACTACAAAGAATACAAACCTGCAAACTGGGCATAAAACACAAACCCCCGAAAATTCCAGAGGTTGGATCAGATGCCTAGAGGAGTAAGCATCCCCTACAAGATCTGCTGGTTTCAAGTCAGTTAAATTTATGCCAGTATTTCAAAAGGGTTATGATTTAACATATATGCTTAATTTAAAAAACGAAACATTGAAAAAAAATATCGACTCAGAGTCGATGAAAACCTTTGCACAAAAGCAACAGTGTAAGTTGGTAATGAACCACTCAAATATTTTCGAAATAACCACATCCATAATTTATTTATACACACAGAATATTGAACATATATATATATATATATATATATATATATATATATATATATATATATATATATATATATATATATATATATATATATATATATATAATAAAGTATATTATTGATCAGGGAATGCTTACTCCTTCCTAGCACCTGACCCCAGCTCTATTTTCAGAGGTCTGTTTTGTCTCTGCTCATAATTTGCATTATTTCAATGGACTTTTGAGATTGATTACTATTCGTTATTTTCACATTTCATATAAAGGACCTCTGAGAATGATCATTAATTGTTTGTTATCTTCAATTTTCATTTCCATGTAGTACAATGTATACCACAAGCAAGCACAGATAAATCACGACTTCATTTTCACATAAACTTTATTTTCATTCTGTAGATTCAGAGGAATGAGCAGTGAATCGTTTCCATTAAGAAGTATTTCCATACAGAGTTAAATTGGAAATTGATAATCGAATCTATCGAATTTGATGTACATGACATTTTTATTTATAAATACATGAATTGATATTTTTTTCTCTGCTCACAGACTTCGTTTCCTCTGTTAGGGGATCGGTTAATAATCAATATTAATTAAGCACGGCTTTCGTTTGATCTATTTAATTAAGTAACAGACGTCTGGACCTGTGACATCTGATCAACTAAGGTATATGTTGTATTTGACACCATGGTAGACTGTGTGCGCTTCTGTTTCCATGGCAACATCGCTCTATGTTGACTCCATTTTCGTTTTAGTAGTGAATGAACCTTAAAAAGAAATTGTAAATTGTGTACAAATAGTTCTGTCTTTTTTACAAGTCAAGCTTATAAGGGAAGAGATTAAATAACATTTATTATTGGATGTCTTATTTGCTGTTCTGAAAAAAGTATGAATTTAATTCCCAACACCATTATTTATTTATACATGTACTATGAACATAAATGCATGCAAATGCCTGTGTTTAACTTAAATTAAATTCCTTTTCTTCATGTTTTCAAGCATTGAAATTAAAAAAAAAATTGAAGGAGGAATTATTTCCAGAGGCCAGCTTCTTTTCGCTCCGATAAAAATAATTATCAAGAATTACTAACGTGTATAAAAGGTACAAACATTGTAAATACAAAATACAGAGGAGGATCATAATATTATAAACACTTTCATTTACCCTTGACTCTCTCAGTATGAATATTCATATAAAAGGAGCACATGACCGGATACAATGGCGTCATAATATGTAATTTATGACGAATCATGTTTTGTGACGCAATTAAGTACGTCATATAATTCGAATATGGGAAGAACTAAAAATAAATTAACAAGTATAAACCAAGATTTTCAAAGTGGAATAAGCACTGATGTACACAAGTTGCTTTGAGAAACCGATACTCAGTATACGGAAAAGGGTATGATTAAGAACTAACTGAGAAGGGGAGAGAAAAAACTCAGCGTGGAAGAACTATCAATGTTGAGGTTGGTAAAACACATAATGTCAAGCTTTGAAGAAATAACTCATACATTAAACTAGTTCAATGAAAAAAAAATCCAAAAGTCATTCCGAAAAAAGTTTGTTAAGAAAAAATTACTACAGAGTGTTTTATTTAAAAATTACCAGATGTAACTAGCTTAAACAATGAGTAGCATGGGCTAGAGGGCAAAGTTGATGTAGGTACTCTGACTTTTGTCAATGGTAATATTCATGCATTTAATTACATGAAGATAATTATCGAAAAACTTTGGCCAATTGCTGTCCAGCCTTTTCCCCCTTAAATAACTATTTTTATGAAGATAATGTAGTGCATCGGACAAGGACTGTGCTAATTGTAAAGCTGAAAATAATATCATGGAATGTTCTGGTTGACCCATGCCCAGATAGATGCTTTCGTAAATTTCTGCTTATTGTTTAAAAATCAGCTGAGACAATGCAAAGCTAAATTAATAACACAGCCGATTTCAAACTAGAAATAAGAAAAATATGAACCAACATCCCAATTCACTATATTTGGAATCTACACAAAAAATTTCCACAGCGAAAAAACTAGAAAAGAAGATCAATAGGGGCAACACAAAGTAGTAAGTATATTTCATTTTTATATTTTATTTATAATCCGGAAATTGTTTTTTACCAGTTGCGTATGTTAATATTGAGGCAACGACGTCATTTTTGTTTTATAATATGATGATCCGCCGCTGTAATTATTAGTAGATGGAATTTTGACAATATAAAAATACTAGCTACAATAACATCAAATGAAATATGAATGTGCTTTAAAGTTAATACGTCAGTGTGACAAAGACGCTTCACCACGACATCACGTTGTGTGTGTGAATAAACATTCTATTCACCTGCGCGTTTTGATAATAATCGGCTCATTCGAAATGTACTAATGGTCGAGAGTTGATACGAGTTCTTTAACTTACGCACCTCTCCATTGCAGAAACAGTACATTATGGATACGAACGCACCCTGAAAAGAGAAATATGTAATTCTAGTACAATCTTCCGTAGCAACAATATACGATACTGAATTTATGTTATATTTCAATTATACAAAAAGTTAAGATATATTTCCCAAGAAATAAAATTTAAAAAATATAATATTTTAAGTAACACGCAGATTTTACATAAATTCAATGGTTTAGTACCTGTAACGGCACAAATATAGCCAGTACGTAATGATATACTACTGACAATATTGAATCTTTATCCTCTGGACGCTTGATAAAAATAAGAAATTGTAGTCCTAGCAATGGAATCAAAATGGCGGTAGCACGAACTCCCTTCCTGTTAAGATAACAAACACACACAAAAAATACATTCACGTGTACTTTAATGCAATTGTATTAGTTATGAGCAATGTCATTATTTTTGTTCACGAAATATTGATCAAGGTCATATCTGGTTCACAGTAGTAGAGAAATATTTTGCGAAAATGGAACTTTATTTACATTATTTGCATGAAGACAATTACGGATCCTTTATTAAGTTATTAATTCTGATAATAAGATTTATTATTTGCGGTCAATGATGATAAAGGATGTTATTTAGGTTTTGGTGTATAGGAAAGTCATCAATGGGGATTTATTAGCAGGATAGTTTTCCTGAACATGCCTCATTTATTCCTTAATCGGTACAATTTATTTTTTATGATGAAGACAAATATTTTACGTCTGTAATAAATCTCAACAAAGTTTTTTCCTTAAAATGTTCAGATTATATTTATATTTTGGATGATATGATATAGGGTTTCCATAAAGCTATTGGAAAAAGATTCTATAAAGCCTTCAGTTTTGTTAAAACTTTGAAAGTGTAAAGGAGAAAAAAATCTTATACCAAAGTCGATGTTGATTTACGTCTTTCAAACATACTGTTAGGCCATTTTTCCAAATGGATTGTCAACTATTTTTCCCATTTACCCGAATATGACAAGGATCAAATGTCACATGTGTGACTGGTTGACAAGGAATTCCTACTCCTCCATGCACCTGATCCTGCCCCTATTTTCAAAGGTCTTTGTTGGCTCTTCTCATAATTTTTATTGTTTAAATGGATTTTGGAGAATGATGACAACTGTTTGTTTTCTTCACAATTCATAGTACGTTTTTCATTAGTTTACACAATGTAAATCAAAGTTGTACAAATTTAGCAGATGTATAATCTGAAAACACAAGTTTAAGTAATTATTCCTATTAGAAACGAAAAAGAGTTTGCAAAACAATTTCCACACTTACCGAGTCTGGGCGACTTCCGGTATTTGTCTAAGTTTTGTTATCAAAAGGCGCATAATATTAACCACAAAGACCACGTTGATCTAAAAATAATTCAAAGAGTGATTTTTATATACATTTCATTTTGCTTCATTTACCAGTCTCGTGAAAACTTTATAGAAATCAGCTGTTCAACAATGATGACAAATCAAAAGAAGAAATTAATTCTTTTCTACTTGACATAAACAAACCTTACCGACATAGATAATACTACTGGTGCGTACATTATCCATAGGTAACTGCTTTCGCCGCTCCAACACCTGAAACATAAACAATCATTTCTATTTAATGAAAATGTGCAACCATTTCCTAGTTGTTATGAATTTCCTAGGTAAGAATAGATGCTGATAGCAGATATTCTAGATTGAAAATTTAATTATGATACATAAGTTACTGTACTATTTTCCGAATATTCATTATAAAACTCTCTATTGTAATTGGTTCTACTATATACGCTCTAGTTAAGATATAATACATATGCTTAATCATGTTATCGGTAGAGGATTGGTTGTTATACATACGCAATCGTGTTATCATTCATTGAAGCTCTGACTGCTGCATATGTTATTGTTAACACAAGTGGAACACCTAAAAATGATTATAAGCATATAAATGTCTGAAGTGAATTATAACAGACAATTATCCATTTGTTTATTGATCTTTTCTTTTTTATTAAAAAGTCTACAATCCCGAAAGGTGTCTTCAGGTGCAACATGCATCATTATTGAGGTTTTATCAAAGGATTATAAAAATATCAATCTCTTTCATAAAATCAAAGTCGAATCACAACGATTTCTGAAAATAATAAAAAGAAAAATCTCAATGCATGATACTTACACCAACCAATAATTAGACATGCAATAATGACAGATTTTCCGGATGTGAATGCGCTCATTATTACAGTGTGGAGATATAGTCCTTCACAGAACATCCAGGCAAAGTTGCAAACGATTGCATATTGCGTGACAACGTGGAGAATTTGACACCAAACCTAGAAATAGTGTGTCAATAATTATCATTTTAATCAGGGATAATAGTAATTACAATTTATTGAATGGTGTTAGTTATCCAGAAAAATGATGTTTCATAAGTAATAACATCACAGATGTCAATGATTATAAAAGTAATTAATTTATTCTGCTCCCTATTGATCCAAAGTACAAAACATTGAACATTTATGATTACTGAGAGTTAGTTCATCTAAAATGTAGGAATTAATGTTAAAAAAATGCTACATGTATTTTTTACGAAGATAGAACATACCGGGTTATGCAAAACGACTTCTTCCATAAAATGTACAACAGAAAGATAAACAAGATAAATCAGATCCGTAAGCAGATAGGAAATAAACAAATTCTTGTGAATCGTAATTCTGTCACATCGTAACTGTCTGAAAAAATACAAGAAATATGTAATATATATATCACTATGAAAAAACAGTCGATATAGGGAATATACCAAAAAAAAAAATATAGAAAAGTGGAACGTAATGTAAAACTAGAGGTACTGTGAGGACTGAGCTCACAAAATAATACCCTCCACCTCCCATATGTTAAAAATGGCAAAGTCCATGTTTTGCTGTAGGAGACCCGAAATAATTGTGCGATCAAAAAGTAAAATAAGAGATGCACAATGGCACAATGTATTAAAGATTCTGTGAAAGTATCATTAAATTTTATTCAGTGATATAGGAGAAGTTGCGGATAAGCGATGGGTACCCTTGAATGTTATAGAACGAATGGCAGTATTTATATTTTGGTATGGAAAACCCGAAATACGTGTTCAATCAAAAAGTAAAATAGGAGGTCGCAATGGCACTACATGTATTTAACAAAGATTCTCATTAAGTTTTATTCAGTGGTATAATAGGAGTTGCGGATATGAGATGTGTATCCCAAAGCGTAACAGACTGACGGACAGACGGACGGACACCTCATCACTATAGACACCTCGCTTTTCAATCAGGAGATATAATAAAGATAAATGTAACACTGGAAAGAAGGCTTATTTCAAATTGGTATTTTCTTTTTCTTATGATTTGCCGGTTCAGTCTAAAATATATCATTTAATTCATAGAGCATCTTAAACAAGTTGGCAAGGACAATGAAACAATGAAAAACCCGGGTTTTTTTTTTTCAAAGTAGTGTCTGTACTGTTAAACGTTACTCTGAATTTCCCTAATTTTACTATACTTTTATTAATTTTATTATGGTTTCATTAACAACTAAAAAAAATCGAATAATGCTGTGAAAGGAAGACCTCTGTAATCTAATTATTTATCTCGATAAGTATCAGGGAAAAAATCCAAGAGAAGCACCATTATCTGATTGGAAAAGAAAAATGTTTAACTTTGTGGTTATAAAAGTGAAAAGTCATCCCTTTAAATACAAAACTGAGCTTTACTGAAATCCCCGGTGAACATGTATGGTTAAAGTCAGACACTTCTCTTCAAAGATATTAAAGCTTTATCGATTTCAAGGACAAAAATAATTAACAGAGGCAAAACGTCTTCTAAGAAACAATTGTTTAGTCTTTTTAGATGATACACTAGGAGTGATCAAATTCTATTTTTCTTTATATTTTTTTAAATGAAATGTGAAGATGCCCAACAGTAATCATCCTCAAAAATCCAATAAATTCTTGTGAGCAGAGCAAACACGGACATCTGAAGACATGGATGATCCAGGTGCCATAGAGGAGTGAACAACCCCTGCCGACTGGTCTCTTTTTCTTTAAGTATTTTTTGGTTTGTTTTCTACTTGTTGCTTTTTTAGTTATTTTTGAAAACGTTCTGAATTATTAATTAATAATATTTACCTGAATTTGAAGAATATGATGAGAGAAATGGAGACCAAGACTAAAGAGAGACAAAATAAGGCAATGGTCAGGTAGATGTGAATAAGATCTTCTTCCAACTCCTGTAAAAATCAATTATGGAAGAAGACAATAAATAGTTTCAATTTAAAAAAAAAATGTTTTAAAAACCACGAACTATGAAATCGCAGATCTTTCTTGGGGTTGAATTTTAGGTGTTTTCGTAGTGTGGTGTGAAGAAAAAACACAAATTCACTAAATGATAAAAAGTTTTACTACCGTATCACGTTTGTATCACGAAAATTTGATCCCACAAAATAAGTGAATTTACATTCTTACGTTTAGTTTCTCGAAATATCTGCAACTTGCTAAACACTCAATATAATCGTGTTTTATCTATAGATTTCTTTCTAAACGTTAATGAATGCCATACCTTTACGGCATTTTCGTAGTTTCTACACCTGGAATAGTCTGCGTATTCTCTACCTGTACTAGGGTTGACGTACCACGTTCCGTTGTCAGTGCAGTCGAAATAAACATTTTCTGTTGTTGGAAAAAGATGAATGAATGTTTTGGCGACCGAAGGATTTAATATATTAGTTTTCAATTCTATGTGAAACTTGCAACCAATTTTGTTGTGTGTCAATACAGTAAGTTTTACAAAATGTTACTCAGAATGTTAAATACGTATGCAGTTTTTTAAAGACTGCACGACAACCATATTATGTTTCATTTTTTTATTGTATTGATATTAGCCCTGCACTCTGATCGAATGAATTATCATTATTAATTGTAATTTAGATTCATAATCAATTCCATTAAATGTAACTTAATTCTGCTAATTATGCTCAAATGCTTCCGCCTTTTAGGTTTGCTGATTTGACGAAAATTTATAGATAAGCATCTCAGAAGTGATAATTGGCTGATAAAATATCCCATCTAAATTATCGTCAATGTAGCAGTAAAATGGGATTTATTGAAGAAGGTTTTTCATAAATTGAATGCCAGCTTTCTCTTTGCTAATAAATCTGATAGTGGACTACATTCAACTGTCTACACTACAGGACATATTGTCAAATAGATCATCTTTATTACAATTCGATAATAAATATAGATGTAAATATAGACGAGCTTCATGTATTATCAAAGTAACTTTACGGGCACATCTATATTAAGAGTTGAATGCGATAAATGTTTTGTATTAAAGGCTTCTAACATGGTTTCATTCAGTTTTCTGCTGTTTACAAGTGTGTGAGCAAATTGGCCAATTAACCACAGAAAGAGATTTAATCATGCATGTGATGTATGGAGAGTGCTCTTATATTTTATGTTCCAAGGTTTGTGAAGGTTTCGCATAGCATACTAATCAAACAGATCATAGGAAACGGGATTTTTACCACAAATCAGGTTGAAAACTATTCAAATTTAGGTATTACTCTACATAATTTCATAATATCTATAGAGGGTATGTAAAAAGCTTATCATAAGCTAACAATATTTCATTTTATCACAACTATTATAACTGTGAAAATAAATAAGGCAGTTCGATCCTATTTTTGAAAATTTAATAATTTTCTGTGATAAAAACCATTTCATAATCTTTGTATTACGTATAACGGTAGCTCTGTGCTTCTGTAAATACCTTACATTGAAAATGTAATTAAATTAAATAATAATCTTTGCATTGTGAACACCTTGCAATAAACATGTAAATAATACTTTTAAAAAAGATAACTGACGTGTTTTATGAAATCCGGGGAGTTCCGGACAAGGAATGGATGCCGTTGTTCCTGCTTCTGTGTAATTCCAACATCCCAGAAAATCATCATGTTTGGGGGAACAATACAACTTACCTGAAAAGAAAAGGCTATGAATTGTGAAGTGATCGTTAACTGTGGATAAGACTGATTCGTTATATTTTTACAGTTATGATAAGTCAACCATATTAATATTTATTTTTTTAAATATTTATTAATAAATCAAAAGATTTATTCAAACTTTGAGTATAGCAAAGTTGCAGCCTGGACTCTAAAGCAATTAAAAAGTAAAATATAAAAGATCCTGAAAAACAAAGGTTGAGTCAACTGCATTTTTGTTAACTTCTTTGTCAACGTCTTATGACTCTTATTTAAAGAAAATTTAAAAGTCATGTGCCTTGCGAAAGTTTCATTCTTCTTTTTCAAGCTTACTGTAAATGATTTACTGTGTCTCTTTAATGCATTACATGCAAATTTAAACAAAGTTCAAAATGAAAAAGTTATTAAGAATTGTTTTCTCATCCACTTTTTTTTTCAGGTATTGATGTGTTTTATTTATTTTTGTTTCTTTATTTTTGTTTGAAAAAGAAAATGTTCTTCATTTATTAAACATATGAATTTTCATCTAACAATGCTTTTTAGCAATTTTCATAAGGAATCCAGTTGAAGAATTTGAAATTGGAGAAATCATTACAGACAGACAGATACAATAGATAGATAGACAGAAAAGTTCAGTTGAGCTAATATATAATAATATAATTTTTTTTCCTATTTGAACTTATCAAAATATGATTAAAGTGAAATATGGAGATAACGAACAGTATTCAAGCTAAAAGTCCATTTAAACAAAACAAATGGGCAGCAGAGCGAATCGGACCTCCAAAAACATCAGAGGTGTGATCAGGTGTCATGGAGGAGTAAGCATCCCCTACCGACCGGTCACATCCGCCGTGTGCTCCTTGTCATGATCGTAGATAATTTAGTGTGTAAATAATGGCATAATTGGTATGAACATAAAGGTCAATTTTTAAAACTTGTCTTGAAAAGAGAAATAAATAATATAAGAATTAAATATATCAGCAAGATTTTTTTTTACTTCATAGAACACGCCCTTGATAAGAAGTTAGATTTTAATGAAAAACATCTATATATTAAGAGACCCTTGAAATTTTCTTCTTTTTTTCATCCAGTTGTTTTTGAGGTATTGACGTATTTTATTTATTTTTATTTCTTTAATTTTTTTGAAAAAGAAAATGTTCTTCATTTCTTAAAAATGTGAATTTCCATCGAACCATGTTTTTTAGCAACTTTCATAAGGAGTCCTATTGAAGATTTTGAAATAGGAAAAATAACATTTACATGTTAAACTTTGTTCCGTCTACCTGATCAATACATTGGGCTCACGGCGGGGTGTGAAAAGGTCAAGGGGATGCTTACTCCTTCTAAGCACCTGATTCCACCTCAGGAATTTCCAGGGGTTCGTGTTTATGCCCTTTTCATAGATTTGTATTGCTTGAAGTTCTTATGAGATCGATAACTTTTCGTTATCTTCACCCCTTTTCATTACAAAAATGTGTAAACTGTTTCTTTTCTTATTTGCATCATTTATTCCACTAAATCTAAATTTAATTCAAATCGAATTGAAACTGCAGGAGGAATACCATTTTGAAAGAATTTTTTTGATTATTTTAAATGTAAGTAAAAAATGCGGTTCATTTCCTCAATATCACAAACATGACGAACTGAATTATGTTCCTCGATGAAGATGGATTGTGTAATAGCTTTTCATGGGAAATTTAAGGGAAGAACACGAAGAGAAGAAAACATTGTGTTTTAGTAGCCATATGGCAACATACAATGGGGATGATGATGAAGTCTATTTACATATACCGAGTCTTATAAACGTAAATAATCTGTAGTAGGATAAGTTTTTTAGAGAAAAAAATGTTAACAGACAGATAGACAGAATACTAGTATTACATATACATGTTATGGTTCTCTAGAAATAGAATTTATACACAAAAAAATTAGTTAAAATCAAGACGAGAAGGGGTGGGGTGAAGATAAAGAAAGAAAAATCAAATACTGGTAATTAAAACCTTATTTTCCAAAGTTTTTGCCATAATAATCCTAAACTTTTTTTTTTAATAGAACAAATGATCAAATAGAATAGTAAGAATTACATAATATTGATGTCTTCAAGACACGTTTCTAAATATTTGAAAAAAAGAATGTTTTAGGAATATATATGCCGCCATACTGCATTATTGTAAAGGATAAGGTTAAAATTAAGAATATCTGACTTGAATATTTCCCAGCGTCATCTACACCTAAAGTGGTACAAGTGTACTAGATTTGTTGTCTGTCTAGCAAAGGGTTCTCAAAACATTGATCGGACAATATTTCTTTATGTCCAGAGTTTGACCTTTGCCTGTTGACCTTGTGCCTTCAAAATAATAAGGGTCATCTACTAATGGGGTACCAGTATACAGAGTTTTTGTCTCTCAAGCCGTGTTCTAAAGATATTGACCGGACATCACTTCGTCTACCTACCGACAGGTGTAAACTAATATGCCTACTTTTTCTAAGCGGAACATAATAAAAATGCTTTATAAGCTTTCCTCAGATAAGTATATGCTACCCTTTATTATAAAATACCTAAATAATTTAGTATAGAATGTATTTAAAATAAAGGATTTGACCATATTTTTAAAGAAAATTTTAATTTATTCAGATTCATTTAGTGTTCAAAATTGGCTTCCAATGTGAAGCGGGCGAATCACTTTTTTGAAGATTGAATGTTTATTATGGCAAAATATTTATCAGCATGACATCCCATCTGGCTAAATGAGGGCATGGTGCGTCCTTCATAAGATACGAAATAATTATATAAAGGAATGATTAAAATAATATTCAGCAATGGATTAAACGCTTGGGTTGTCGGGTGCACATTCTTTCTCCTGCGAGTTTAAATCTATTTTCGAGGAAGCGAGGATTTATTTTAAATTAAAATGATTTATTTTGATTGCAAGTCTAAACAGATTTTAAAAGATTGCAATTAAAAGATTCTTTGATAAATAGCTGGGTTTTTTTCATTTACTTTTGAAGTATGTGCGATATAATTTTTGGCCTCAAAAAAGTATCACGTAGAACTTCTGCATTAGTTACATTCATTCAAAGAAATCTAAAGCTGCACTAAATTCAAAAGTTTTTGCTATTGGCTGCAATACAACGTAAAACTTTATAAATATCAAAATTAAAAATCTGCATTCAGGGACCTTCATCTCTTTCCACTCATTCAAAAACATTGCAAACGCGATGTACATACAAACCTCGTTATCTCAAACTCGATGGAACCGAGGGGAAAAACTTAAGATATCCAGGAATTTGAGATATTGAGGATGAAATACGTAATGAATAAAAGTGGTTGGGACTTGCTAGTCACTTTTACATATTCATGGTATTCGAGATATCAGTGTTCGAGATACCGAAGTTCAACTACGCATGCAAAGCAGACAATACAGTATATTACCAAGAACACTGTATCAATGCAGCCAGTGCATTTGATTGCTTGGTATTCAATTTCTATTTTTGGTTTCACGACTCGGTCAAAGATTAAATGTGCTACAAGACCGGTATTTGAATACTAATTAACAACTAATGGTGTTCATATTCGAAGCAAACTGAGATGCTTCATTTTGATTTTTTCAGAATAAAGGTTTTTGTGTTTTGATTGTTTCATTGTCCACACAAATTAATTCGTTTCAGTTTTTTTTAGCTTTTTTAAAATAATTCCGTCGACATTTAACATCAATGTTTATTTCAGGATCAAAAATAATCCTCATTAAGTTTTCCTCCAGGAAAACAGGGTGTTTTCTGCTATGGAATTTACTTTGCCAATGCATGATTATTGCGCCCAACAACAAAAAAATACACATCTTTTTGAATCATGAAAGTTGGATTCGGACGATTAAGAAACCCTTTAAAAACATCTTAATCAGTGCACAAAAAAGAAAGATTCCAGCTTTATGAAGGAATTTTTGTCCACTTTGGTAGATTCCTTTACAAGAGGATATATTTATTATATGGATATATACCAGGTGGTTTTAACAGAAGAAATGAAAGAGAAAAACGCAAAAATAAAATACTAGAGTACATTAATGAATATAATTATTTTGTCAAATTTCACTGTATTAAGAGTGTTTATAGTTTAAATTCTTACTTGATTTCTTTTATTACATGTAATAAGTATGACAGGTTTAATTTTGTTTATCATAATTAACAATTACTTTGAAAGAAAGAAAAGAATATCTTTAAGCGAGATTTTAATTTTCATTTGTTTATTTACATGTTTTATTTACTTGTTTTTTTTCAGTTCCAATTCTTCATTTTTTAGTTTCTTAATATTTTCAACTATGACAATTTAAGTACTCATTTTATCTTTATCATCTTTATTAATATTATATACCACTTAACAAATTGGTTTCAATACTTGTCAAGCCTAGAACAATCGCTTCATAGCAAAGTATTTGACCACATTGACACGCCATGCTTTTGCATTCGTTTTGATGTTAACGTTGAACATAATTATTATATGAGGGCATATTGTTCCTTTTGAAAAAAAAAAAACAAAACAAAAACAAAAACAAAAAAATAATAATAATAAAAAAAAAAAATGAAAATAATTCTTAACTTACAACAAATGTTTTTATTTCACTTTGGTGAAGGTATGGAGTTTGTTCATTATCATTCTATACCTCTGTTAACCAATTAGCTTAGATTCTTAATCTTGATATGACATGGTATGTCCACCAAACTAGCATATGTCAGGTCAGTATTGTAGTTCTGAATACTACATGAAATCTCCATCATACTATTGTGTATCTGGTCAGGGTTAAGATACTTGGAATTAGACTCACATCCAAACATTTACCCTACAACTATTATTATTAAACTCTCAGAGAAGTATCAATTACAGTCAAACCTCGTTATCTCGAACTTGAATGTGCCGAGAAAAAAAACTTAACCGTAGGTTCGAGATATTGAGGGTAAAATAAAGAAAAAAGTGTTGGGACTTTTCAATCACTTCGACATATCCATTGTATTCGAGATATCCGTGTTCGAGATACCGAAGTTCAACTGTATTTCCAAATCAATTTAAAGATCGCTTTTTTGTCGAAATTTCAACAAACAATGTTCTAATCGCTTAATGCCAATAAAATAAAACTTGGATTTAATTGTAACGTTTTTTTTTCTATCTTTTGAGACATATTTTGTAAAATTATATATATTTATTTATTTTTCGTACACATGACAAAATTTCAAACCTAATCATTTTGTATCTGATTTACTTTACTAAAAGTAACAATGGGATGCCCAGCTTCTACAAATAAGCGTATCATAAAGTTTTTTCTGCTGCCCAGAAATCTGCTTAAAGTCATTATTTTATTGCTCCACAATTATGTTTTGAAGGAATATTTCAACACCTCCCAAACCTGACAGCAGGACATATGTTGTTTAATGGTTTAAACAATAAAATCTATGTTTCTGACATGTCAGAAACACACTTTTTACATGTCATGTTATTGAAGGCAAGAGTCTAAGATAGAGTGATAATGAAATACCAAAGTATGTAAATTACGACATTAAAAAATCCAAATTACGTGAATTATAGTGTATCTTAGAATTGATCAGAAATTATGTATTACGTGGGCTGCTGAATAACGGTTTATCTTAGATTGACATGTGATATATTTATCTTTCACAAGTTGTAGGTAAATTCCATCCTAATGTGACCTCCAGGACTTAAAATATTAAAATTAATTACGATTTAAGCTTTAACCAATGCGAGACGCAAGACATGTTTGGGATCAAAATGATCTATAATTATAAATTATTGATTCTGAGAGAACAGTTTATCTTACTTTTAAACCAACCTTAAAGGAGTTCTTTGATACATTTTTTTAAAGTTTTCAATAAAATTCCAGACAAAATCAGATTTTTTTAATATCAAAAATGAGATTAGATTCAAATGCAGAGAGGGTCAATGTAGAGTTTTAAAAATTTAGCCATACCCTGAGTCCATTTTTTTTTCATAGGTTCAGAAACAAAAGGAGCAATCTCATTACTTTTGTTCTTGGTTAAGACTGATCTAACCCAAAGACCATAAACTGAGAATAGGCTTAAGTCAAAATTTCAAATCAATATAACTTTAAAAATTATTTTAATGTTGAAACAAAATTTTCAGTATGGTTTTGAACTTGAATATAATACAAACCTGCAAATTTCTATGCTAAATAAAACTCAAGATATTCAAAATCAAAATTTTGACTTAAGTCTGTTCCCAGTTTATGGTCCTGAGCTTGAGCTTACTTATATTTAAGACTTAAAACATATTCTTCAGAATTAAGATGATACTAAAATTGCAGCTGAATTTTAACTTACCATCTGATGGTGGAGGTTTGGATATTACTTCATCGTAACAAATCCCTTCAAATATAGCATGAATCTTTTTGAAATAATCATTTTCAAATAGTATGCTCTTCTTCTCCATTTTCCACGTTCATTAATAGGAAAAAGTATTCTTCTTTTCCTATGATCATTCAGTGTTGTCCAATTTTTTTTCTCCTCACAAGTCGTGAAAGTTTCGTGTCAATTTCACCGCTTAATAATATTAATCTTTTATTTTATATTCGATTCATATGTATTTATACAGTATTAATCCTTCCTTTTTTATTCAATGTTCCATCCACGTCCTGGCTCTATACTTTAACAGTCTGAAATCATCTTAATAAATATTTTTTCCCAGTATCCTTCTACTTTATTCCTTGTTCCTGTTGCCTATCGCCTGGGATTTATTTATCGGAAATAACAGCTCATCGCTTGTGTCTGTATACAGCTGACAGGCTCTCTCATTCCTGGCTTTGGAATCGAGGGTTAAATACATCACGCTGTTCTTCCATATCGCAGGGACCCGAGTTGCATAAGTTCTGACCCATTGTCCTGTTGGTGGTAAACATGCGCACACGGGCCCAAATTTAGCTATCAAGTTAGAAAGCAACTGCTCATTTAAACTTTTAATATTTTAATGTCACTGCTGGTATGTTATGTTTGAATGTGCATTTTCCCACAATTTAGTTAGGATCTACACGTAATTCAGTATATGTGTGCATATAAATTTAGCTAAAATTCCTTCCAGTGCCAAAGATATGGGTTATTCAAGGATAAACATATAAAGAAACCTCTATTTTCTCTATCTATATAATGAAAAATTTTCCAGTACTCAACTTACATGTATAGGTTACGGACATAGGGTACTTCAAAAATATGCTATGGAAACAGTTTGTATGACCTTTATTACTACTAAAAGTCATGTTTATCACATCACCTTGACTAAGTTTTCTTTTAAAGCCATCCTTCTTGCATTCTCCTCAAAAATATACTTTCACATTCATTTTAACATTCAATGCAAAAAAAAAAAAAAAAAAAAAAAAAAGAATTAAACTTTTGAAAGAATGTCCTTACATATTTTCTGAATATTGAGGTATCATGCATTTTTGATTGATTAATTGTTTAGTAACCGCATAAGAGATAATATGGTGTATATACAGCTCAACTTCGTCAGATGCTTCAAATATTCTCTATCAATCATAATTATGCTTTGGCTATGGTTATCAGAAATAAAAAAGATCAGTCTTAAAGTGAAAGAGAATAATAATAATGAAAAGGTAAAAGCAACAACAGAAGAAAGGAGATACATTAAATACCATGATCCTACCTTAATTTACCTTGTATCTTTTATCTTTGTCAGGTCTCAGATTTAATTTATTGTAATGTAAAATATGGCATTTCACAACTGTTTACCAGATTAAAAATAAACATTAAAAAGAATATGACAGAATCCTGTTAACATAAATAAGACAAATTTTTAAAGACAATTTCTTTTAATCATAATGCAGTCACAAAAAGGATATATGTATTCTCAAAAAATTCTATAACTTAAATGAATGTAAAATTTAACAGAATATCACAAATATACGTTTGATTTAAGAGTCATTCTCCCATATATCTTAAAATATATTTTGGTGTGGATAACTTTAGATTTTATTTTATATTTTTGGAATTTTTTTTTTTTTTTTTTTTTTTTTTTTTTTTTTTTTTTTTGATGAGAAACTTTTTTGAACTTTTATGCTTAATGTCATTGTTTTACTTTTTGTGTAGCGTATGCTCAGTCTGCATGTTTGCCAATTTATCTTCAGAAATTGGATCTTTTTTGGGTAAGAACAAACTGCATGCAACAGTCTAAAGCTGTTATTGATACCATTTGAACCTCAGACGCAACGCATATTATCCCGTCTCCAGAAAACACCAAATCTAAAATTCCTGAACAAGAAAAAATGTAATTCCTTCACGTAATGTGTTAAAAATATGCACTCAAAATGTGTGAGAGAAGTGCTTGTTTTTCATATGCGTAGCAGTATCAATATATTTCATGAATATTTATATGGGTATTTGAAATAAGGTAATTTGTACTTAAACGTAATGAAATTCTAGACATTGAAAGAAAATATATATCGTAAAAAATCATATCGAAATTATTATCAATTTAAGAATAAACAAAGAAATATGTGGAGATAATGAACAGTATTCGAGCTCAAAAGTCCATTAAACATTACAAAATAGTAGCAGAGCAAACAAGGACGTCTGAGACATCAGAGGTGGGATCAGGTGCTATGTAGGAGTGAGCATCCCCTGCCGACCGGTCACATCTGAGACATCTAAGACATTTTTTAATGGAAGTATTTAACATACCAGGTATCCGAAATAAAGTTAAAGTTACCAGGTATCCGGAAAAAGGTTAAAGTTTTGAATTTTGGAACTTATATATCAAATTCAAAGTTGAAGTTCGTGAAAAGTATTTCAATTTGATATTGAACAATTAATTGCATGAATGGAAATCTTTAACGTCTAGACGTGTTTTCATCAAGAGGGCTCACTTAAAGCTCAAAAAGCTCATTTTTTTTCTCAGTACGAGGTCTTGCTTGCTAATTAACAAGTATAATGGCTAATTAACAAGCATAATGAAACAATAATAAGTGTAACTAAAGAATAATTAACGGTAAAACAAAGTTCTTCTTAAATTAATGCCAGGTAAGCTGAGGTCGGCGAAAGTAATGACATTTTAATTCTTTAATAGGAACATGAAATATCCTTATCTGTGTTGCCTTTTTGCAGAGTCTCCTTCACGCTGGCACTTTAATATAAATTTAATTAATCTTTATTAACACAACCATGACGTATCTCCAGAGCTTGAGATACTGAATAAAAAGTAGGGCTACATTTATAACTTTATCTTCAAAAGGAGTAGATTATGATTTTTTTAATGAAAGTATTCAACATACCAGGTATCCGAAATAAATACAATAATCCTCTTAAGATATCCAATATAAAAAAATTAAGGTAGCATTGCTAGAATATTTCTCGATAGGATTTTTTATCGTTCGTAGTTCTCCCAACCCTCTGCACTCAAAATTGAAAACTCAAGCAGTCAATTCCTCTATCTGTACAGCGATCTGCAGATCAATTACTATTAAGAAGCAATCTACTCTCATCATTTTCGCATAGCCAGAATTACTACGATAGTCGTGCTCTCATCTAATAACGCACGTCGTCTTTCGATCGCTGAATGTATTAATCTACACACATATTGCTTGCACGGCTGCTGGAACTATTGTTCGCTGATTTACAAGGTTGATTAGCGAACAAGTCGTGGATTTCCTGACTACTTTACCTCTCAACAATCGGGAAAATTCAGCGGACGGAAATGGATATTTTTCTGCATGTTAATATCTTTTCATTGTTTGTATTTGCGTGCAGTCATAGCTTTTGGTATTGCATTTCACATCCCGTTTGATTCTAGTATCATGAAACTCAAGCACTTTTATCGTCCTCATATGAAACATGAAAATATCAAAGAAACACAACTGGTAAACAAAAAAAGCAACTGTATTGAAATACATGTTTTTTGGTTAAATGTATATTTATATCATCAATGATAAACAAAACATCTTATCCCCTTTATTAAATTATTTATAGATGTGATAGGGCATATTATTTTCCTGGAATCTTGCATGTTCTATTTACTTACTTCTTACATACAAGGGTTGTCCTAAAAAGTCGTAGATAGAGAAAACAATTTAGCTTCTCCTTGCTGAACTAAACTTTTTCTCTTATCATGTTAAAAAAACAACATTTTTTCATGCTAGTAACACATTTAATAAGAAAATAATGTTAAAATAAATAAAGCCTATAAGTGTACATCCAGGCACGAAAGCAATCGTCACTTAAGTCTCACAACGCCTTGATCATTTTTAAGGTACTTCCCTGTGTGCTTAGCAAGGGTCTCTTGAACGTTTCGTTATTTTTTCAATGTGGAAAACCACTCTAAATGAGGAACTCATTAAAATACACAATTGTCCGTAGTTTTTTTTTTTTTTTTTTTTTTTTTTTTTTGATCATCAGGTTCAAGTTTAAGTCTTCTAAAGGTTGCCTTACATTGTAGGTAGTAAGAGTACACAAAGATTGGCGTTGATCGTGACCAATAACGTTCCTCGATCATCTGAATTTAACAAACAGTACTTCTTATAGGTATAACTTTTTTCGGTTAGGAGGTGAAAACTGTTTATGAATCTCTTATACCATTTAAAAACAACTTTTCTACTTGCGTTATAGTATTATGTCACTTAATATGTATCTTTTTCAGTCTCTGAAGTGTACAAACCCATTTGAAACAATTTTATTGCATTCACGTGCACCCTTAAAGCCTTTGACGACGTCATTTTCAGCAAACCGAATTCCAGCAACACTTTGAAAATTACGACACCAATCTCCTGTCTCTGAGGTTTTTTATGTGAAAAATTGACATAATACTAAGATTTTGTTTTTGATTTCACTGACATGAATTTGAGTTTGATGTTTTACATATTATCAGAGAAACTAATGCAATTAGAATAGTTACATACGTAAATTATTCAGGATTTGTTCGTGCGCCGACAGACCATATCGGCCTTCCTATAATCGTCATAATATTTTAACTATAAAAGATATTCATTTAAGAATTCGCTTTCTTAAGGAACATTGAATAAGTTATGGCTATGCAAAATTTGGTTGGTTAGTATTGCTTGAATGTTTACAAAGTTACAAATACTGTGTACGACGTTTTGGGACAACCCTCGTATAAAGAATGGAAAATGTTCGTACAATTATAGTTTAACAGCAATGAGTTGTTAAGAGAAAAGGTAAAAGAACTGAAAAATTTCCTCTATCATAATATGTAATACTTGTTTATTTAAACAAAGGATGCATCAGATTATCAGGAAAAAATGAAGAAAAGACTCGACCTTGTTTTTGCCAAACATATCAGTTATTTAGAGAAAGAGTAATATTCCAGAACAGTTTTTTTTTTGAAAAAAAAAAAACAGTGCAACGTTAAGAGGTAAAACTTTCTTCTAATTATAATCATTATTTGAAATAAATTGAACTTTGTGGTAGTGTTCTGCTTTCAAAAACTAATGTTTGCATTATTCTAGCTTATAGAGAAAAGTACGTACGACCTAGACATGATAATTCTATATATTAATCGATTATTGCCGAGAATCGACGAAGAAAGCTGTTAGACCTATCGTAATGATGTTATAAGAAACAACAATTATCTCATTGTCGGAGTTTTACCGTGAAAGTCATTTACAAAAAGGTATTGACCTGAGAACCAAAGAAGTCCAACGTCAATTTCTCTAGGCTTATTTTGTTTTAGATATTTCATAAAATATGATGCTAACCTTTTTATGTTACTTGAATCATTGAAATCAGCTCTTTATCTATTACACATTTTGCAAGATGAAAGACTACGTATAGATTAAATACATAAGGCAAGCGTCAATGTCAAGGGTTCTAGATAGAAATATTTTCTTTCAGTTTAATTTCTATCGGATTGATTGGCTGTCGGTTGGTTGGTTGTTGTTTTATGTCCCTTGCGAGAA